CATTTCTGTGATACTAATCCCCTTGGTATATATGTATTTTACATTCTACTAATTAATTTCACATTCCTCTGCAATAATAACATACAATAAATTTAACAAGTATTTATATTTATGCATCTAGTCACTTAATCAACAATTATTAAGTGCTTTCTATGTACAAGGCGTCTCCCTGTCTTGGGGATATGGAGAAACACATTCCCTGCCTTCAGGGAGCTTAGATTGTAATGAGGGAGACGACTTGTACATAAAAGGTTATTTACAAGTTACATAAAGAGTAGATGGAAGGTAACTTTCGAGAGGAAGGGATTAGTAAATGGGAGCACTGGAGAGGAGTCCTGTAGGCAGTGACGTTTGAGCTGAGTCTTGTAGGAAGCCAGGGATTGATTCTGAGAGGTGGAGGTAAGAAGGAAGAGCTTGTCAGTCATGGGGCTAGAGGGTGGGGGACAGACAGCGCAAAGAATATCAAGGGCCAGGGAGCATGGGAATGTTGTGAATGAGGAACAGCAGAAGAGTTCAGTCTGGCTGGGGGAGTAATGTGTGAGGATACTGGAACGATAAGTTGTGAAGAGCGTTAAATGCCCAACTAGTTTATATTTGATCCTCTAGGAAATTAATGGGGAGCCAACTGAGTGGGTGTGTGCCTGTGTTTGAAAGGTCTGATCAGGTTATGCAAATCACGTGGGCTGCTGTAAGGACTGTGGATTGAAATGGGGAGAGACTTGAGGAGTGCAGATCCTAGTGCTGGCTATTCAACTGGGAAGGAGGAGTTGAGGAGGATCCTGAGTTCTAGTATATGCTGGGCCTGGAGTCTGGAAGACAGGAGTTCAAGTTCAGATGCAAGCTGTGTGTCCCTGGCCAAGTCAGTTAACCCCTGTTTGCCTCAGTTTCCTCTAATGTAAAATGAGATAATAATAGCACCTACCTCCCAAGGTTGTTGTGAGCATCAAATGAGATAATGATTATGAAGGGCTTAGCACAGTGCTTGGCCCATGGCAAAGGTCATATAGATGTAGCCATTAGCTCTTATGTTTCTTTGTTGCAACTAATTTAGACACAGAGCACTTGGGCTGGAAATGTATTGGCAGAACTCGTAGATTCTGGCTTGTAGGCTCTAGATATATGAAATTAGCCCCGAGATAAAGGAGTATTGGGGAAATTTTGGATTAAAGTACTGAAAATGCTGCTGCTTTTCATGGAGGAAATTACCATACATAATAAGTATTTTGTTACATTCATCATATTTGTACCTAGTGTACATTTTGGTACACCGTTTTAGTGTGTACTATATGCAAGTGCTTAATATACAAAAATGAAAAATAATTTCATACTAAGTATTTTAGAGAAATATAGTGTTGAAATTTTCTAATGGAACTCCTGTTCAAATTGTTTCAAGCACAGTTTGGGAAATGTTTGTGACAGTGATTGCTTTTACTTGGAAACATGTGTTCTCTTCCACTATCCTTCTGAAATAACAGGGCAGTAGTTATGCACTGAGGGGCTGTAACAGAAAGGAGCGTAGATGTAGGCTATCTTAAGCCTTATTTACTGGAGAATGAGAAGC